TTTAACTTTCCAAGAAATCAAATAGATATATAATTTTACTTACAAATGTATATTGTGTTGTTCTATTTTGTTTTGTTTTTTATTTATTATAAATAAAGTAGTAAGCATCTTCTGATGTATTTCTATATGGTTGTTTTGTTTTGTTTGGTATTTGTTGTGTTCCTTTGCAGTCGGGTTGCTGCAAGCCTTCAAATGACTGCAATTTCACGTATATTAGCCCAACCAACTGGACAACCTCAGCCATATCTTCTTATACAAATTCAGATTGCAAGCTGTGGAACAATGACCCAAGTATTCTGTGCTTCGACTGTCAATCATGCAAGGCTGGGCTTCTGGATAGTATCAAGCATGATTGGAAGAAGGTGGCCGTGATCAACATTATATTCAATTATTTATTTATACCATATTACCTCATAATCAGGTCATAACTGAGTTATTTAAATAATTTGACTCTCAACCGGCAATCGGTGTAGCCGGTTACCATGAGGGAGCAAAATTGAATCAGTCGTGTATGGCTAGGTTTTTGAAAATGCTTGAAAATGGACATAGGGGAGGATGAGAATATGGACATTGCAGATATAGTAGATATTGCAAAACATAGCAGATATGTCCCCATCTGATATGGACATAGGGAAAATTGCTCGAATCCATTAGTTTGGGGATATGGCATGGGGACATAGCAGATATGAGTTTATAGTTTATATTGCTCGAATCCAAAACATCTCAGTTTGAGTTCGAATATTGCTCTAAATTGTATTGGTCTAACTGATAGTTTATAGTTTATACATATCTATTGGTCTAACTGATATGTTTTGGATTTCTCTATATTTTTCTATATAGGATTTGGGTTTCTATGGGTTTCTATGGTATAGTAGTCATATGTTTTGCTCCAAGAAGATGAAGAATAGTATCAATGGTAGAGTCGAATTTAGATTCATATATTATAAAGGGAAGGTTGAAATTAAGGGAATAACACATTTGGGGGTGACAGAGTGCACCAGATTTAATATATGAATTTCAAATAGGGGCATGTATAATATCAATGTGAAATTAAGGGAATAAAACACTCTTCATGAAAGTATATATGTGTGTATAATATCAATGTGAAATTAAGGAGTATAGTATTCTATGTTGTCTTCATGAAAAAAAAATGTATTCAACTTACAAGTATTTAACTTAAATGAAAAATTTGAAAGACTTGGCATTTAACATTTATGTGTAATATGGCAAGAGGTTTTTTTGTTTTTTTTTTGGGCACCTTTTTAAGGGAGTCTATGTTGTATTTCAAAAAATTCTGCACAATGTATATATGTGTGTATTACTTTAGTTGTCTTCAAGAAAAAAAAAAAAAGTGTATTGACCTTGCAAGTATTTAACTTAACCCAAGTATTTAACATAATCCGTTTTGCTTTGAATCAAATTCACAAAGTATTGAACTTAACCCAAAAAATGTATTTAATTTTTTGATGTAAAAAAAAAATTGTACCATTCAAATGTAGTATATTTGTTGTATGATTTTAAAAAGAAAGGGATTGTTTTTTTCATTTATTTATTTTTTGAATATCTAGAGTTCCTAATGAAAAGAAAAATTTGAAAGACTTGGCATTTTAACATTTATGTGTAATATGGCAAGAGAGTTTATTTATTTCTTTATTTATTTATTTTCACCTTTTTAAGGGAGTATAATATTCTAGGTTGTATTTGAAAAATGCTGGTCAATGTATATGTGTGTATTACTTTCGTTATTTCATGAAATAATTATTCATTATTGCTTATAAAATGGCTTTGTTATCTGGTGAATTTTTTTTTTTTTTTGGCATAAATTTATGTTTGGACTTTCCAAGTAATAAATGGTGAACTTCAAAATATTTATGATTATAATGGGTTTTGGTTTTGTTTTTAATTTTATTTCTATAAAATTGAAGTCAGTTAAGAAAGAGAAATGTTCAAATTTGGACAATTATTTTGCTCCGGTTTTAATTTATCATTTTAATGTGTTTGTGTAAAAAAACAAAACAATTAAAGGGAGTGTATTTTTCATATTAAACTCAACACACTCAAAAAAATTAAAGGGACTTTATTAAACTCAACACACTCAAAAATTTGGTTGTTCTTTCTACAACAAAAAAATTAAACTCACATGCTCAAAAAAAAAATATTTCACATTTTATTAATAAAAAAATTGTACCATTCAAATGTAATATATTTGTTGTGTGATTTTAAAAATAAAGGGACTGTATTTTTCATATAATTTATTTTGAATATCTAGAGTTTCTAATTAAAAGAAAATTTTCGAAGACTTGGCATTTTAGCAATTATGTGTAATATGGCAAGAGAGTTTATTTTATTTATTTATTTATGTTTTTCACCTTTTTAAGGGAGTATAATATTCTATATTGTATTTCAAAAATTTTGGTCAATGTGTATGTGTGTATTACTTTAGTTGCTTCATGAAATAATTATTCATTATTGCTGATAAAATGGCTTTGTTATCCGGTGAATTTTTGTTTTTATTTTTATTTTTTTGGGCATAAATTTATGTTTGGACTTTCCAAGTCATAAATGGTGAATTTCAAAATATTTATGATTATAATGGGTCTTGATTTTGTTTTTAATTTCATTTCTATAAAATTGAAGTCAGTTAAGAAAAAGAAAAGTTCAAATTTGGACAATTATTGTGCTCCGGTTTTAATTTATCATTCTAATGTGATTGTTAAAAAAATCTATTCTAAACGCTGGGTTAACTCACAAAATGTGAGTGAAAAAATCTAGAAATCCCCTAGATGTAGATTTGTGATTATGTATCAATTTTAAGCAGAATATAACAATCCCAATCAAACAATCAAGACAAAGAGACACAACGATTTTAACGTGGAAAAAACCACAATTGGACACCTCCAACTGTGATAAAAAAACCACGGGCAACAGCCACAAGAACAATCCACTAAGAAGATTTAAAGGAATTACACAGGTATACTCTCAATTACCTAGCGAATCCACAACGCCTAATTGAACCAACCTCTATGTGCCTCTTCCAACCCCATCTTCACCACGGAATTGTCTTTCTGATGAGCCACTCCGGGTTCCGCCAAAGCTTCAGGCTCGAATTCTTCAGAATCCACAACTGAAGAACAACTCTCTCTTTTGTGTATAACAAACAAACCTTTGATGTACTCTCTTTAAATCATGAGTTGAAGACTCAATAAAAGCATCAAAGAAAACAAACAAAATATCTCCAGATATAAACCTTAAGATCCAAAAAAATAAGATTTGGAGAACTTCAATCAATCCATTAGTTTTGGGAGAAAACCACGTATTTATAGAGAACCAAAAGTAATCCTAGATTGGGAAGAAAACAAACTCCTTGAGAAATCCGGATTCTGAGGCTCGCTCGAGCGAAGCTTTGCTGGCTCGAGCGAGGAGTGTATTTTTCATGATTTCTACTAGTGCCTTGGCTCGAGCGACGGATCCTTGGCTCGAGCGAGGAATACACTTTTTCAGGTTTTTGTATGGACGCAATCCTTGGCTCGAGCGCGCATTCCTTGGCTCGAGCGAGCAAGCCCTAGCTCGAGTGAGAATTCCTTGGCTCGAGCGAGAAACGACGGACATGCAATTTTGAATGCAATTTTGCATTTTGCTTCGGCGAAGTGGCAATCTTGAAAGCATTAACATCACAAACTTCTCTGCATGGTTCAATTCGGGTTTGGATTCGCATCTAATAAACTCATAGCCTCACTGAAATAAAAGTGCGAAAATAAATACATCTGAAGGAGTTTTGTCAAACGGGATTGCCAAAAAAATAAAACCTAACAGTGAGTTTGATTATGAGTTTCTCAAAGAATGTAAAGAGAGAGGTTATTTGGGACTTGGTTTGTGGTTAGTGCTATGTGTTGTAAAAATTAGTGTGATAGGAAAAGAACTGTTTGTTTGGAGCTATTTAAAAGGAAAGTAAGGGTGACTTATTTAGTTGATCTTCCTGCAACAAAAAAATTAAATTCACACTCAAAAAAAACTATTTAACATTTTATTTGCAGTGTAATAAATTTATTCTTGGCATTTCAACATTTATGTGTAATATGACAAGGGAGTTTATTTTATTTATTTATTTATTTATTTATTTATTTATTTTTACACCTTTTTAGTATCTTTATCAAAAAATAACACAAACTTCATAAATTTTAACATAATATGTATAAATTATAACTGTATTTTAATCTTAAAATTATTCATACCGTACCTTTAGGTACGGACATACGCTAGTACATATATAAGCAAGGGCAAGATCCAATCAAAAAAAATAAAAAAAATTAAAAAGTCAGGAGGCACGTGACCCTCGCCCCTACGTCCCTCTTCCATACATACACTCTACCAACAAGGCATATACAATTCGTGAAACAAATTGATAAATAATCTCGTCAACTCTACGCATATAAACGCATGATAAATTTTTTATGAAAATAATCATAAAAATTTTATGATACTTTCATTATACTTAAAATAAAATATCACATACTAATTAAAATAATTTAAAAATATAAAACATCACACATTAATCAAAATAATTCAAAAATCATAAATCTTACATAATTATTTTCATAAAAAAAAATTCACAATCCTTAATATATATATATATAATCTACCAACGGCCCACTGTATTCATTTAAATAAAGTTATAAATAGTGAGTACATGGGGGAGCGGAGGACGGACCACCGCCCATCATCTCTAATCTCCAGGAATAACGATCTTTTAGAATTTTTTTTTCTTAAAATTTTTTAGAATAGTACATTGTGTGGTTAAGATTTAATAACAAATCATATTAATTTTTTAACATTAAATCTCCATCATACAATACATCACTCTAAAAAAATTACTCTAAAAAATCCGTGGTGAATCTCCAGGCCCTCAATAAATACCCCGATTATTTGGTGGAGTTTTTGCCGACTTACTTACTTACTCTTACAGCGAAAAAAGAAAAAAAATTTAGAAATCGTAGAAGAAGATGACAGTGGCAGAGGAAAGAGGTAGCATTGCCTTCTCCACAACCTACCGACCACCGGTGCCGCTGGACGTATTCTCGTGCCCGCTTCGGCCAACATCGAAGCAAGATGAGCTTCCCATGACTGACGAAGAGAACTACAATTACAACGGCCAAGAAATTTCATCCGCGGCTCTCAAGACAATTCTCAAGCGCGAAAATTTGGCTTCCGAAGGCAAAGAGGCCGATGTAAATATAGGTCGTCTCTCGGGCATGGTTTTCGTCTCCGAACGACAAGAAGGCCTCGAATTGCTTCACATAGCTCTCCGCTTCAATGACGACCCACCACCCAAACCCGAAGTCTACTGTTTGGCTGATGTTTTTGGCAAAGACAATTTCAGTGGTGTTCGCATGGAAGACAGTGGTTGCATTGCCGGTGATAATCTCGTCTATGTCACCACAAAGGACCCCGCCCCTGGACTGCCGTCTATAAAACCAATCTCAAGACCGGAACAACCGACCGCCTCACCCCATCAGGTAAGGTTCCTTTCGTCATTCTCTTTTCGGGTTCTCTGTTTTAGATTTTTGGTTGAAGTTATGAACGTTTAGTTCTAGCTGTTTCATAGTTTCTGCAGTTGGCTCCTTGCCAATTGCTTCGGAGCTCCTGTTTGCTTGATTCTATTGAGCATTGTGTGAGCGAGGTAGCCTTGATGCTTCTTTGGTTTTCCAGCTATGTCATCGGATTTTATGCTTTGTACGTTTCCTGTTTCATCCATACGACTTTTGACCTACAAAAACAAAACAGGGGAAGCTGATTTAAGCCCCTCGGTTGCACCGTCTGGAACGAAGATAGCGGTGGCGTCGTTCCAGGGAAAGCGTGGTGGTTGGAATGGTGAGATCGAAGATCTACATACCGACATTTTTGTGATGAACGTAGAGAAGCCCTTCAACCGCCATAAGGTTGTAAGGAATGGTGGGTGGCCGACGAGGGGAAGTGACAACGTCATATTTTTCCACCGCAAGGATGGGAAATTTGGGGTGTGTTCCGTGTCAACCTCAGCAACGGTACGGAATCTCGTGTGACCCCAGATGGAATTCAGGCAATAACTCCGGCAGCCATCAACGCCACCACAGTGGCAGTGGCAACTATTCGTCAAGAATCAGAGTTCTTGAACGTCGTCCGTGTAGAAGCACAGTATCGGCACATTGAGATTTTTGATTCAACCGGACAGCAACAAACCATACAAATCACTCAAAAAACCGTGCCAAAGGCTGACCATTTCAACCCTTTTGTGATAGATGGTGGGAAGCGCATCGGTTACCATCGTTGCAAGAGCCACCTTCTCAAGGTACATACCGAATAACCACTTTTCAAACCACTTCACCTTTGAATTCTTTTTCTAGCCAGCCATGTTTAATTAACTTAAGAGCTAGCCTGCTACGTATGTACAATTGTTACTTTGTGACAGAGTGGAGAAGATATCCAAAGAAATACCCACAAGCTCGAATCTCCACATCCGGATGTAGGACTGTTTAGGGTGCCGGGAATCTTTCCAACATTTTCCAAAGACGGCTCCAAGCTTGCATTTGTGGACAACGAGTTCAAGGCCGTGTGGGTAGCCGATAGCAAAGGATTGCGTATTGTTTACCACGTACGTAAGTGCAAGAATAATATTACTGTAATTGTATTAATGCACAATTGTGTTTATCTTTGATCAATAGCTGATGATCAATTTTGTTTATGCAGGCGAAAGGCCCAGACAACGTCTTCTCACCAGTTTGGAATCAAAACCCAGAAAAGGATATATTGTATGTTAACATGGGACGTTCTTTCCAGTCTAAAGAAACACTACACATTTGCGCTATTCTCAACGTGTCCAATGGTGCACATCGTCTCGAACAACTCACAAAAGCTTCCAATAATGCCTTCCCATCCACCAATCCAAACCGTAACTTCCTACTTAGTTCCTTCTAATTCCTTTCCAAATACCCAATTATAATAGAATAGTATATACTGACATGGCTCCTCGTCGGGATAATATGTTAGTTCAAGAATTAATTGGTGGAGGACTCGGCTTATCCGTTGAAAGTAATTTAAATATTTTGAAAACTTAATGATGAGTCACATATCAAGTTCAATTCATAAAAAAGAAATCCTACACTGTTTCACCAATCCTTGGGCAACCCATTAGCAAGTCAGCAACTAATTATAATATTATAGTTTTCCCAATGTTAATATATGAAAAACAAATTATGGAAAACAAATTGAGAGAGTAATATTGAAAGAGAATTTGTAATATAAACTCTGTATTGAATCAAGATTGAGGCTCCATTATATAGGAGTCTGTTATACAAACATTATGATGATACAATTGAATATAATAAGAAAAAGTGGCCGAAAGCTGGTGGCGCACCGAAAGCCTTTCTGACAAAGGGAATCCTATGCTATAATTGGTGTTGTCTATACTATAATATATTAACAACAGATATAGTATTATAGTATATTCAATTAATATTAACAGTCAAGGAGGACAAACATCAACCAACTGGAGTTTGGAGACAAGTTCAACGAAGCGGCCAGGAGAATGGGCTTTGGTGAAGATATCAGCAGGTTGATCAGCAGAGGAGATGGGATGGAGATGGACAGTACCATGAGTGACGTGTTGACGAATAAAATGACAGTCAATCTCAATGTGTTTGGTGCGATCATGAAAAACATCATTGTGAGCAATTTGAAGAGCACTTTGATTGTCACAAAAGAGAGCAGTAGCGCCAGAGGGGGAAACACCCATGTCAGCAAGAAGCCAACGAAGCCAGAGAAGTTCCTGAGTAGTATCAGCAAGAGCACGATATTCAGCCTCAGTACTGGAGCGAGCAGTAAGAGATTGTTTCTTGCTGCGCCAAGAAATAAGAGAATCACCCAAGAAAAAGCAGAACCCGGTAGTAGAGCGCCGGTCAGTAGGATCCCCAGCCCAATCAGCATCCAGCCATCAACGCCACCACAGTGGCAGTGGTAACTATTCGTCAGGAATCAGAGTTCTTGAACGTCGTCCGTGTAGAAGCACAGTATCGGCACATTGAGATTTTTGATTCAACTGGACAGCAACAAACCATACAAATCACTCAAAAAACCATGCCAAAGGCTGACCATTTCAACCCCTTTGTGATAGATGGTGGGAAGCGCATCGGTTACCATCGTTACAAGAGCCACCTTCTCAAGGTACATACCGAATAACCACTTTTCAAACCACTTCACCTTTGAATTCTTTTTCTAGCCAGCCATGTTTAATTAACTTAAGAGCTAGCCTGCTACGTATGTACAATTGTTACTTTGTGACAGAGTGGAGAAGATATCCAAAGAAATACCCACAAGCTCGAATCTCCACATCCGGATGTAGGACTGTTTAGGGTGTCGGGAATCTTTCCAACATTTTCCAAAGACGGCTCCAAGCTTGCATTTGTGGACAACGAGTTCAAGGCCGTGTGGGTAGCCGATAGTAAAGGATTGCGTATTGTTTACCAGGTACGTAAGTGCAAGAATAATATTACTGTAATTGTATTAATGCGCAATTGTGTTTATCTTTGATCAATAGCTGATGACCAATTTTGTTTATGTAGGCGAAAGGCCCAGACAACGTCTTCTCGCCAGTTTGGAATCAAAACCCAGAAAAGGATATATTGTATGTTAACATGGGACGTTCTTTCCAGTCTAAAGAAACACTACACATTTGCGCTATTCTCAACGTGTCCAATGGTGCACATCGTCTCGAACAACTCACAAAAGCTTCCAATAATGCCTTCCCATCCACCAATCCAAACGGTAACTTCCTACTTGTTCCTTCTTATTCCTTTCCAAATACCCAATTATAATAGAATAGTATATACTGACATGGCTCCTCGTCGGGATAATATGTTAGTTCAAGAATTAATTGGTGGAGGACTCGGCTTATCCGTTGAAAGTAATTTAAATATTTTGATAACTTAATGATGAGTCACATTTCAAGTTCAATTCATAAAAAAGAAATCCTACATTGTTTCACCAATCCTTGGGCAACCCATTAGCAAGTCAGCAACTAATTATAATATTATAGTTTTCCCAATGTTAATATATATGCTTTTGAATGACAAAAGACCCTTTATTATAATATTAGAGTTTCCAGTTTTAATTTGTGTGGATGGATGGGTTGAAAATTGTAACAGGGACGAAATTAGTTTTTCGATCTACAAGAGATGGAGGAGATGAAAGATACAAGAATCTATACATAATGGAGAACGCAGAATTAGGGGAATATGGAGGTGAAATAAAGAGGCTAACAACTGGGCATTGCATTGACACACATTGCCAATGGTCCCCAAGTGGAGATTGGATAGTATTCTCGTCAACCTGCGACAAACCTAAAGGTGCACCAAAAAAAGACAACGATCTTGACCCAGGATACTTTGCGGTGTTTCTAGTGAAGGTGGATAATCCGTTAGTGGTGGTAAGAGTGATGGAAAGTAGTGATTTTGTGAGAGTGATGCAAAGTAAAAATGATGTTGCAGGGCATGTGAACCATCCATTCTTCAGTCCAGATGGAAAGAGCATCGTTGTGACTGCAGATCTTGCAGCAGTGTCAGTTGATCCTGTCTCTCTGCCTCGCTTCCTGCACTCTGTGAGGCCTTATGGAGATATCTTCACTTTCGACATTGACCAGGATGACATAAATAAGAACAAGAATGTGAAGAAGTTCAAGCGCATCACACATAGTAGATATGAGAATTCCACTGGTACTTGGACCATGTTCTCAACTCAAGACCCGAATGCAGCATGGAACATGCTTTTAAATAAAGTCTTCGTTCCGTCTTGTCCTTATGCACATCACGATGGAGGTGAAAGTTGGCACATGACTGGCCACCTTTGCATCCCAAAAAGATGTTGTTAATTGCCTTATGTTCCTATCTTCTCTTTGGCGCTTTTAGTGGTCATTGTGGATGCTATGGTATTCTGCTATTGAACTGTTCAGGTGTTGCTCTTTTGGTGTTGCTGTTTCAAGGACGGGTATATTGATGATTCTATCTCAGTGGTTCTCTTCTGCTTTTGTTGTGATTGATTCTTTTCAGTGGTCTTCTTTTGCTTTTGAGAAAGGTTATACGGGGCTGGTTTCCTAGAGGTTGGTTTGAAGGTGCACTTCCAGAGTTCAAATGGATGATTACTCAGTGTTAACTTTCCTTCCTCATTATCATTAGCTGTTTTTCACTAAGTGTTTTGTTGATTGTTAAATGGATTAAGTTGTGTTGTTTGTGGGTTTCAAGCTCTTTATTTATTTATTTATTTATTTGAACAGCAAAAAAAATAGACCTTTATTGATGATAATTACCATATATATATATATATGACTAGGGATGTAATTTGTTATTTGTCCACCATTTCAAACATATCCAATCCATCCATTTAATACATACTTTTCAATTCCTAAATTAACAAAAATAAAAACAAAAAAAAAAGTTTAAAAATACTAAGGTTTCAAAAATAATGAGTTAGAGTTAATATTATATATAATAAGAATTTACAAACTTAGGTTATAAAGATGATAATGTATTATATTATTAGATTATATAAATATATATATATATATATTATAAATATAATATATGTTGAAGCGGTCGGTTTCAGTTTAGATCGGTGCACAAGGTGCTTAAACCGATACCGAACCAAAAATCGAAAAAAACCAAATTTAAAAACGGCACAAACTGATTCTTGTTAAAAAACAGACCAAATATAGCCGGTTTGGTACGATTCAATCGGTTTAGTCGGTTTTTTCAATTTTTTTTACATCCCTACATATGACATTACATCAAAGAAAGGAAGAGGAAATGCAAAAAGTATCATGACCATTCGATCCCAATTAGGTTGGCATCGCAAGGAATACCCAATCATTTGTTAGCACACCTCAAGGTTGATAAGAACACGTATTAGGTGTTATCTAAAATCTTCTTCAGTTGTAGTTGCTTTGTTTTTGAAGAATTATTGAAAGCTTCTTCATTGATTTCAGTATGTGATTACATGTATGTATTTATACAAAATATCTAACTAAATAATTATATTTGTAACTAACTAACTAATCTAACAAACTCTATCTTCTAGCTAATTATAGCATCAGCTGTAGCTACAGTTTTGGCTTTAGCTGGTTAGCTGTTAATGGCAGCTCCTATTGTGGCTTGAGTTGCTGATGCAACTCTAAATGTTGTGGCTCTGTTGGCTCTATAGTTGTAATATTATCAGTCCCCTGCAAGCTGATGGCAGAGGAAGTGGCCAATAGCTTGGTCTTGAGAAACTGGAATCTGGAACTGGATAAAGGCTTTGTAAAAATGTCAGCAATTTGATCCACAGAAGGAACATACTTAAGAACAACTTTCTTGGCTGCAACCTTCTCACGAATAAAATGACAATCAACTTCAATGTGTTTAGAGCGAGTATGAAACACAGGTTTGAATAAAGGGCAATAGCGGAGAGGTTATCACACCAAAGAATGGGAGAGGTGGTAGTAGGAAGATGAAGATCATGCAGTAGCATCTATAACAAACTTAACTTTGCAGTAGCATAAGCCAAAGCGCTATATTCAACCTCAGTACTGGATCGAGAGATTGTCGACTGTTTCTTAGCAGACCAGGAAATGAGATTAGAGCCAAGATAAATGCAATAGCCAGAGGTAGATCTTCTATCCAAATGATCCCCAGCCCAATTAGAATCAGAAAAAACTTGAAGCTCAAAAGAACTGGGAGTAAATGTGAGGCCATGAGAGAGGGAACCTTTAACAAATCTGAGAATACGTTTAGCAAAGGCAAAATGGCCATTAGTGGGATCATGCATATGTTGGCAGGCTTGGTTAACTACTAAAGACAGATCAGGGCGTGTGATAGTTAAATACTGCAATGCACCAACAAGACTTTTGTATAACTGGGATTGAGCAAAAAGCAGAGAAGAAGCAAGAATGACAGCAAGCCTGACTAAAATAGGTAAATTGCAGGGTTTACAAGAGGTCATGCCAGCCTTGAGGAGAATTTCAGAAGCATATTTTTGCTGGGACAAGAAGTAATTAGCTCCCACAATTTGAATAGAAACGCCGAGAAAGTAAGAAACGTTGCCTAATTCCTTCACGGCAAAGGAAGCATGCATTTGACCAATGAGGTCTTGAAGAAGAAGAAAACTATTGCCAGTAAGTAAAATATCATCTACATAGACCAAGAGAATGAGAATATCATTGGAGGTCTTCTTGATGAATAAAGAGTTGTCACAGTAACTGTTAACAAAGCCATGAGCTAACAAAAACTTGAAGAAGGTTGAATACCAAGCCTGAGGTGCTTGCTTCAGGCCATAAAGAGCTTTCTAGAGTCTACAAACATGATGAGGATTGGTGGCACTAGAAAAAACTAGGTGGCTGGAGCATATAAACCTCTTCATCCAAGGTACGATGAAGAAAGGCAATGCTAATGTCAAGCAGTTTTAAGGGCATTGATAATGCAAGGCAATGCAAAGTAAAATTGTGATAGTAGGCTATTTAGCCACTGGACTAAATGTCTCATTATAGTCAACACCTTATTGTTGTAAAAATTCTTTGGCCACCAACCTGGCTTTATATCTAGCAATAGTCCCATCAGAATTTCTTTTTATTCTGAAAACCCATTTGCAGCAAATGGCTGTTTTGGCAGAAGGAATAGGCACAAGGGACCAAGTACCTTGACCAAGAAGAGCATGATACTCATCAAGCATTGCAGCATACCAGATTGGAGAAGTAAGAGCTTGTTGATAAGTGGAAGGTTCTATATCAGTGAATGAAGAAGAAGAAGTGGCCACAAGACAACTAGTTTTGGATCGAGTAAGCATAGGATGAACATTGGTAGGAGAACTGTGAGAAAATGATGAAGGAGGGACAGATGGTAAATCCATAAAAATAGAGTGAATAAGAACAAGAGAAGAAGGATTTGGATCAGAAGGCTGAATAGGCTGAGACTGAACTGCAGGAGGCTCAGACAGAGGAGTAGGAGCAGCCGGACTAGTAGGCAGAGAAAGAGGTACAACAAAAGACAAAAAAATAGAGGGAGGCGGAGATGTAGGACAAGGAGCAGGAGCAACAGTATTAACAGACCTAGAAGGAGAGCTAGAGGACCAAAAGAAGGACTATAAGTTAGAGAAAGAAGAAAACTTAGAAGGAGGCTGAGCAGTGGCAAAAGGAAAGATATCCTCATGAAAAATGACATGTCTAGAAATATGAATTTTCCCTCTAGCAAGATCACGACATCTGTATCCTTTCAAAGATGGATGGTAACCAAGAAAAACACAAATAGTAGATCTAGGTTGAAGCTTGTTAGAAGTGTAGGGCCGAAGCCAAGAAAAGCACTGACAGCCAAAAACCTTAAAAGAGGAATAAGCAAGAGAAGAATGGAATATAATTTCATAAGGAGACATATTAGAAAGCTTAGAGCTAGGCATCCTATTAATGAGATAGGTAGCGGTGGACACTGCATCAAGCCAATACTGTAAATGTGACAACCCCGCCATGTATAATATTTTTATATTGGTTAATTAAGGAGATTTGGGATTTTAATTGGTCGTTATCCTAATTTAATTTGGGATTTATGAAAATTTTTGGAGTCTGATTCGTATTTGATTTTAATAAGAATTTAATTTGGAAGTAGAAATTGAATGTCCAAATGGCTTAAGGAGGTAAAATTGGTGAGTTGATTCAGTTTAATTTCAAGTATCGGACCATATGAGGGTTTAATTAAATATTCGATTCAGTTTAGTGAAATTGAAATTCGATTAATTAAGTCCGAATTGGAGTTAATTAAGTTAGTTAAATTATGTGGATTTAAAATTGTGATTATTACAAATTAAATTTATTTATGGGGTGTCCAATTTGAATATGTAATTTATTGACGAAAATTTGGAGTTTGATTAGAAATTGAAGGCCTAAATGGTTTGGAAAATCAAAATTGATGATGATAATAAGTTTAATTTAATATTTAGAGCCTTTTGGGAGTTTGATTAGAAATCTAATTTAGATTGATAATTTTAAATATAAGTAATTGGGCTCTAAAGAAAGTCAAACTAGACTAATTAAATTATGTGGGAATTGTGATTTGTTATGATTAATTAATTATGTGTTAACCAAGATTTATTAAGATTGAGTGTTTCTTAATTAAATTAATCCTAAGCATAAATTGCATTACGGAACAAGCTAGAATTGTGGGTGTGGGTGCGCTGAGAAATTTAGGTGGGTGTACTGAGAAATCTGTGTATGTATGAACATGTGAGTGTTGTGTTGGAGGCTTGATTAAGTGTGCACGTGTGCTATGTGTTGTCAACAAGAAGAGGAGTGCATGTGTGTATGGGTGTGCATGTGTGTGTATGTTAAAGGGTTTTGTTGCTTGGTGCTCTGTTGAGAGCATTTCAAAAGGAAAGAGAATGAATTAGAAAGTGTAGAGAAAGAGAGAGTTTGCTGGAAGACCAAGGAGAAAAACAAAGGAGAGTGAAGTGTTGAAGTGGAGTTCAATAATTGACCAAGAAATTCATTAATTTGAAGACTTAAGGTAAAAAATTAAGACTTAAATATTGTAGATAATTTACCTACAAGCTGAAATTAAGAGGTGATTGGGTTGAATCTCATGTAATTAAAAGGAAAATAGTAAGAAGATGATGAAATTAAATTAGATTCATGATTATGGAAATTAATTATTTTGGGTTTGATTTTTGCATATCATATATGAATTTGAGTCTTATTTTCACATGCATGTAAATTTGGAGAAATTAGAGAATTAATTCATGAACATGGTTAAGGTTAATCAATATGGAAATAATTGTAATTCTTCAATTGAGCTTGGGTTTGAAAACTTTGATATATATGAGATGTAAATTTACATACATCATAAATTTCTTGGGATTGATTTCATATTTTGATGAAATAAGAACTAAGCTTTGGAAAATTATGAGTTCATGGACAAATGAGTTCAATTTTTAAATTAAAGGAGTTTTGATGTAAATGATCTAAAATTACTAATATTTTCTTGATTAATTAAGAGTTTGTATGTTTCTAGACAAGTCATGTATGAACTGAAGTTTTGAGATTATATTTTGAAATTTAATTCATATTTTAGAATTTGTGAGTTTGGAATTGGGTTTGATATGAAGAGCATAAGTTGAGTTGAATTTGATGAACTTAAAGTTTGTATGTACATGTATGTAAAGAATTGTCATGAGTTTCCATATTTGAGTACAAACATACATTTTATAATGAATTGAAGGTTATTTGGCACATGTAAACATAATAATGTTGAATTTCCTGAAGTTGATCATCAATTGTACTATTTAAGATGAAAGTGAAGCCTATATTTCACATGCATGTATATTTCAAAATGATATGGAAATTAATTTGCATAAGTTTTGAAGATATGAAGTTGGTATGGGTTGTCAAGAAAAATGTGAAATAATTTGGGAGTTGAATTGTGATTTTGGACAAATTAGACTCAATTTTCTTATGTCCTCATATTGTATAAAGATTTCCATGATTTTTTTATAAAGAACATGAGCTTTAGACCCTTTGAATGCTAAGTTTGAGCTTCAAATGCAATTCTAGAAATTCCAGAATTCGGCACGTTCGCTCGTGTGGGGGAAAGCACTGCTCGAGCGTGAAATGTGGGCTTCCAGAACTTTTGCAGACACTGATGTCTGCTCGAGCTGAAAGAGTCGCGCTTGAGCATAGAAATGTAGTAACTAGTACTTTTGCAGACCAAAGGGGTCCGCTCGAGCGGCCAAAGTAGCGCTCGAGCGGAGAGCCCTGTTCCTGAAATTGTGAAAAAATGGTTTTGTGTTTTGTTTTCCGTTCTCTTTCATTTCTAAGCACTCTTAGGCATACATCGAGCTTTGTAAATGACGTAAAGGGTAAAGAAAGAAACTTAAGAGAATTAACGAATTAAAGAACGGAATGAATTGTATTATGATCCAATTTCTATGTGTATTACGAATTGTGTAGGGCCAAGTGCAAAGGCGAATCGAGCATCGGAACACTGTAAGTGATATCTTAGTAAAGACAATTTCTTGCATATTATCTTCTAAATGCTACTCATGTGTAAGTTTTCTGGACTTGTGAAATTGAATTATGAATGAGCATTCTATTCGTTTGATACGACTGATAAGAGTATGAATGGGCCTGAGGCCGTTCGTCGTTTGAAACGTTTGAATATTTTGATGGGCCAAAGACTGTTTGAATACTTTTAATGAGCCAAAGGCCGTTTGAATATTTTTGATGGGCCAAAGGCCGTTTGAATATTTTGATGGGCCAAAGGCCGTTTGAATATTTTGATGGGCCAAAAGCTGTTTGAATATTTTTGATGGGCCAAAGGCCGTTTGAATATGAATGTAATGGGCTAAAGGCTGTTTGAATGAAAAGTGATCATGATCATGAATATGAAATGCGCATAGATACGAATATGGAAATAACGGGCCAAAGGCCGTTTGACTGAAAAGTGATCATGATCATGAACACGAAATGCGTATAGACACGAATATGGAGATAATGGGCCCGAAGCCGTTTGATACGCTGAAGTGTTTGAATTGGGCTCGAGGCCGTTTGACTAGTTCGACAACTTATGCAATGGGCCTGAAGCCGTCTGACATGTTTGATGCAATGGGCCTGAGGTCATTTGATATGTTTGATGAGGATCTAAATTGGGCCCGAGACCGTTTGACATGTACAAGAAAATACAGAATGGGCCTAAGGCCGTTTGTATATGAAATTTATGGGTTTGATGTACTTAATATGAATCTCATTCGTATAACCTCTTTACTATGGTATTATTCATTGGGCTTTCGCTCACTCTTTGTATATATGTATGTAGGAGAGCAGCAGGATGCCCAACCCTAACCGTAATGAACCCTGACAGCAGGCCTGACTGAAATAGGTGAATTGCAGGGTTTACAAGAGGTCATGCCAGCCCTGAGGAGAATTTCAAAATCATATTTTTGCTGGGACAAGAAGTAATTAACTCCCACAGTTTGAATAGAAACGCCAAGAAAGTGAGAAACGTTGCCTAATTCCTTCATGGCAAAGGAAGCATGCATTTGACCAATGAGGTCTTGAAGAAGAAGAAAACTATTGCCAGTAAGTAAAATATCATCTACATAGACCAAGAGAATGAGAATATCATTGGAGGTCTTCTTGATGAATAAAGAGTTGTCACAGTAACTGTTAACAAAGCCATGAGCTAACAAAAACTTGAAGAAGGTTGAATACCAAGCCTGAGGTGCTTGCTTCAGGCCATAAAGAGCTTTCTAGAGTCTATAAACATGATGAGGATTGGTGGCACTAGAAAAACTAGGTGGTTGGAGCATATAAACCTCTTCATCCAAGGTACGATGAAGAAAGGCATTGCTAATGTCAAGCAGTTTTAAGGGCATTGATAATGCAAGGCAATGCAAAGTAAAATTGTGATAGTAGGTTGTTTAGCCACTGGACTAAATGTCTCATTATAGTCAACACCTTATTGTTGTAAAAATCCTTTGGCCACCAACCTGGCTTTATATCTAGCAATAGTCCCATCAGAATTTCTTTTTATTCTGAAAACCCATTTGCGGCCAATGGCTGTTTTGGCAGAAGGAAGAGGCACAAGGGACCAAGTACCTTGACAAAGAAGAGCATGATACTCATCAAGCATTGTAGCATACCAGATTGGAGAAGTAAGAGCTTGTTGATAAGTGGAAGGTTCTATATCAGTGAATGAAGAAGAAGAAGTGGCCATAAGACAACTAGTTTTGGATCGAGTAAACATAGGATGAACATTGGTAGGAGAACTGTGAGAAAATGATGAAGGAGGGATAGATGGTAAATCTATAAAAATAGAGTGAATAAGAACAAGAGAAGAAGGATTTGGATCAGAAGGCTGAATAGGCTGAGACTGAACTGCAGGAGGCTCAGACAGAGGAGTAGGAGCAGCCGGACTAGTACGCAGAGAAAGAGGTACAACAGAAGACACAAAAATAGAGGGAGGCAGAGATGTAGGACAAGGAGCAGGAGCAACAGTATTAACAGACCTAGAAGGAGAGCTAGAGGACCAAAAGAAGGACTATAAGTTAGAGAAAGAAGAAAACTTAGAAGGAGGCTGAACAGTGGCAAAAGGAAAGATATCCTCATGACATGTCTAGAAATATGAATTTTCCCTCTAGCAAGATCACGACATCTGTATCCTTTCAAAGATGGATGGTAACCAAGAAAAACACAAATAGTAGATCTAGGTTGAAGCTTGTTAGAAGTGTAGGGCCGAAGCCAAGAAAAGCACTGACAGCCAAAAACCTTAAAAGAGGAATAAGCAAGAGAAGAATGGAATATAATTTCATAAGGAGACATATTAGAAAGCATAGAGCTAGGCATCCTATTAATGAGATAGGTAGCGGTGGACACTGCATCAAGCTAATACTGTAAATGTGACAACCCCGCCATGTATAATATTTTTATATTGGTTAATTAAGGAGATTTGGGATTTTAATTGGTCGTTATCCTAATTTAATTTGAGATTTATGGAAATTTTTGGAGTTTGATTCGTATTTGATTTTAATAAGAATTTAATTTGGAAGTAGGAATTGAATGTCCAAATGGCTTAAGGAGGTAAAATTGGTGAGTTGATTTAGTTTAATTTCAAGTATCGAACCATATGAGGGTTTAATTAAATATTCGATTCAGTTTAGTAAAATTGAAATTTGATTAATTAAGTCCGAATTGGAGTTAATTAAGTTAGTTAAATTATGTGGATTTAAAGTTGTGATTATTATAAATTAAATTTATTTATGGGGTGTCCAATTTGAATATGTAATTTATTGACGAAAATTTAGAGTTTGATTAGAAATTGAAGGCCTAAATGGTTTGGGAAATCAAAATTGATGATGATAGTAAGTTGAATTTAATATTTAGAGCCTTTTGGGAGTTTGATTAGAAATCTAATTTAGATTGATAATTTTAAATATAATTAATTGAGCTCTAAAGGAAGTCAAATTAGACTAATTAAATTATGTAGGAATTGTGATTTGTTATGATTAATTAATTATGTGTTAACCAAGATTTATTAAGATTGAGTGTTTCTTAATTAAATTAATCCTAAGCATAAATTGCATTACGGGAACAAGCTAGAATTGTGGGTGTGGGTGCGCTGAGAAATTTAGGTGGGTGTACTGAGAAATCTGTGTATGTATGAACATGTGAGTGTTGTGTTGGAGGCTTGATTAAGTGTGCGCGTGTGCTATGTGCTGTCAACAAGAAGAGGAGTGCATGTGTGTATGGGTGTGCATGTGTGTGTATGTTAAAGGGTTTTGTTGCTTGGTGCTCTGTTGAGAGCATTTCCAAAGGAAAGAGAATGAATTAAAAAGTTTAGAGAAAGAGAGAGTTTGCTGGAAGGCCAAGGAGAAAAACAAAGGAGAGTGAAGTATTGAAGTGGAGTTCAATAATTGACCAAGAAATTCATCAATTTGAAGACTTAAGGTAAGGAATTAAGACTTAAATTTTGTAGATAATTTACCTACAAGCTGAAATTAAGAGGTGATTGGGTTGAATCTCATGTAATTAAAAGGAAAATAGCAAGAAGATGATGAAATTAAATTAGATTCATGATTATGGAAATTAATTTAGAAATTAATTATTTTGGGTTTGATTTTTGCATATCATATATGGATTTGAGTCTTATTTTCACATGCAAGTAAATTTGGAGAAATTAGAGAATTAATTCATGAACATGGTTAAGGTTAATCAATATGGAAATAATTGTAATTCTTCAATTGAGCTTGGGTTTGAAAACTTTGATATATATGAGATGTAAATTTACATACATCATAAATTTCTTGGGATTGATTTCATATTTTGATGAAATAAGAACTAAGCTTTGGAAAATTATGAGTTCATGGACAAATGAGTTCAATTTTTAAATTAAAGGAGTTTTGATGTAAATGATCCAAAATTACTAATATTTTCTTGATTAATTAAGAATTTGTATGTTTTTAGACAAGTCATGTATGAACCCAAGTTTTGAGATTATATTTTGAAATTTAATTCATATTTTAGAATTTGTGAGTTTGGAATTGGGTTTGATATGAAGAGCATAAGTTGAGTTGAATTTGATGAACTTAAAGTTTGTATGTACATGCATGTAAAGAATTGTCATGAGTTTCCATATTTGAGTACAAACATGCATTTTATAATGAATTGAAAGTTATTTGGCACATGTAAACATAATAATGTTGAATTTAGTTGATCATCAATTGTACTATTTAAGATGAAAGTGAAGCCTATATTTCACATGCATGTATATTTCCAAATGATATGGAAATTAATTTGCATAAGTTTTGAAGATATGAAGTTGGTATGGGTTGTCAAGAAAAATGTGAAATAATTTGTGAGTTGAATTGTGATTTTGGACAAATTAGACTCAATTTTCCTATGTCCTCATATTGTATAAAGATTTCCATGATTTTGTATAAAGAACATGAGCTTTAGACCCTTTGAATGCTAAGTTTGAGCTTCAAATGCAATTCTAGAAATTCCAGAATTCGGCATGTTCGCTCGAGTGGGGGAAAGCACCGCTCGAGCGTGAAATGTTGGCTTCCAGAACTTTTGCAGACATTGATGTCTGCTCGAGCTGAAAGAGTCGCGCTTGAGCATTGAAATGTAGTAACCAGTACTTTTGCAGACCAAAGGGGTCCGCTCGAGCGGAGAGCCCTGTTCCTGAAATTGTGAAAAAATGCTTTTGTGTTTTGTTTTCCGTTCTCTTTCATTTCTAAGCACTCTTAGGCATACATCGAGCTTTGTAAATGACGTAAAGGGTAAAGAAAGAAACTTAAGAGAATTAACGAATTAAAGAACGGAATGAATTGTATTGTGATCCGATTTCAATGTGTATTATGAATTGTGTAGGGCCAAGTGCAAAGGCGAATCGAGCATCGGAACACTGTAAGTGATATCTTAGTAAAGACAATTTCCTGCATATTATCTTCTAAATGCTACTCATGTGTAAGTTTTCTGGACTTGTGAAATTGAATTATGAATGAGCATTCTATTTGTTTGATACGACTGATAAGAGTATGAATGGGCCTGAGGCCGTTCGTCGTTTGAAACGTTTGAATATTTTGATGGGCCAAAGGAATACTTTTAATGAGCCAAAGGCCGTTTGAATATTTTTGATGGGCCAAAGGCTGTTTGAATATTTTGATGGGCCAAAAGCTGTTTGAATATTTTTGATGGGCCAAAGGCCGTTTGAATATAAATGTAATGGGCTAAAGGCTGTTTGAATGAAAAGTGATCATGATCATGAATATGAAATGCGCATAGATACGAATATGGAAATAACGGGCCAAAGGCCGTTTGACTGAAAAGTGATCATGATCATGAACACGAAATGCGCATAGACACGAATATGGAGATAATGGGCCCGAAGCCGTTTGATACGCTGAAGTGTTTGAATTGGGCTCGAGGCCGTTTAACTAGTTCGACAACTTATGCAATGGGCCTGAGGCCGTCTGACATGTTTGATGCAATGGGCCCAAGGTCATTTGATATGTATGATGAGGATCTAAATTGGGCCCGAGACCGTTTGACATGTACAAGAAAATACAGAATGGGCCTAAGACCGTTTGTATATGAAATTTATGGGTTTGACGTACTTAATATGAATCTCATTCGTATAACCTCTTTACTATGGTATTATTCATTGGGCTTTCGCTCACTCTTTGTATATATGTATGTAGGAGAGCAGCAGGATGCCCAACCCTAACCGTAATGAACCCGAGAAAGAATGTCAAGTTTGTGGAGTCAACCATGACACGCCTCACGAACGAGGCCTTAGTTTTCAGAACTATTGTTTTGACCCTTTTGTCTTCTTTTGATGGTCATGTTTGACCTTATCTGTATATAAGCTATGGTTTTGTATAATTATGGTATTACATAGATCTAGACATAGAATGTCTTTTATGTAGGTATGTTTGGTGTGAGTTATTAATATAAGAAATGTTTTTGTGCATTCCATTTATGCACAAGCTCATTGGACAATTATTATCTTTTGCTTCCGTTTTTGGCCCCCATATGATTATTTAAAATTTGTTTTCCGTCTTAGGCCGTAGGTAATCTAATGATTACTATCTGGTTATGATCCTAACCTATAGGGGCAGGTTCAGATCATGACAGTAGAGGCACAGAAGAATGATGTAACAAGGCAATGGTTGTTTCAATGATGTGCCTGTGTTTGTGCGCAGAAACTCCATTCTACGGAGGTGTGTAAGGACAAGACATTTGATGAAGTATACCATGAGCTTTTAAAAATTGAGTCATTGGAGTATAAACAAATTCAATGCCTCCATTAGTTCTTAGAACTTGCAATTTGGTGGAAAATTGAGTTTCAACAAAAGCCTTTAATTCCAAAAATTTGGAAAACACTTCACTCTTGTAACACAAAGGATAAAGCCATGTAAACTTGCTAAAGTCATCAACAAAAAGCACATAGTACTTATATGTAGACAAAGAAGAAAAAGGACCCCGCACATCACTATGGATGAGAGATAATGGTTTGTTTATAGTAGAATTGGAAAGCATAAAAGGGAGTCTATGGCTCTTGGCCACACAACAATGAACACAAGAAGACAAAGGAGCCAAGGTTTCATTAGTAATATCAGGCAAATAACTCTGTATATGTACAAATTTCAACTGAGATGGATGACCCAATCTTTTATGCCAGACTTCAGCAGAAACAGCTCCAATAGTGGAGGTATGAAAAGCATGAGGTGAAAAAGGAAGAGAAGAAGTAGTAGCGAAGTGATATAAACCATGAGCACTAAATCCCTAGTGCAAGACTGCCTTCGAAGACTTGTCTTGAACCACAAATGAAGAATCATCGAAAGTGACAATACTATTATTGTCTTCGGTAAGTTTATGGACAGAAACAAGATTTGAGGAAATAGGAGCATGTAAAACCTTGGTAAGCTTAAAGGAATACTGAAGAGTAGGCAAAATACCTTTCCCTGTGTGTTGGATAGGCAAAGAAGTACCATTGCCAACTGTAACTTGATCAGTACCTTGATATGGTTGGTACGTGCTGAGATTGGAGAGATCATGTGTGATATTATCAGTAGCACCTGAATCAAGATATCAAGAAGAAGATTCAGGTGAAGCAGAAGCAACATACGACTTTGGGGAAGATGAATTCTGTGAGTGAGTTGAAGAAGAAGACTGTTGGTAAGTAATATCCAATCTATGCCAGTAATCAGAGGCAATAAGATTGGCCTTTTTACAAATTTGACAGATTAGTCCAAAATGTAATGGTTATCTGCCTTGTATGCCTCTACCTCAGCCTCAGCCTCTGCCTCTAGAAGATCTGCCCTCTTCGAAAATACCTCGAGAGGAGCCCCGTGTAGCACGTCCGCGAGGGGACCTCGCTGCCACAGTTCGAACTCTCGATTTGTGTCACGGTTCTAAATCTGAACCAAAGAGTCCAAATCCGGCAAATCATTTTGAGAAAACAGATTTTGAAAGAAGTGCCAAACATGGACTGCTTTGCCAGATACAGAGTCGCCACCTAAATATTTTTTTTAAATGGGAAAATTTAGGAAACCCTGACTCGGTGCCGAAGGCCACATGTCCGTCATCACCGGAGTTGTCTCGGCTCGGGAGCTTGGGTACGATTGGGGAAGGTCAGCTATGAGCACCACCTTTCGCCCAGTCCGAAGACCGGCCTCTACTAACCGTGATATCCATTTTTGAAAACTTTATGTGTTCTTATTCCGGTTATTAGCCTAGAATTACTATGTTATGCGCAACAGCAAACAAGTATAGACTAGATTGCCTAATTTGGAAACAAGCATTGCATATCCGTTTGCTTTAAAAAATGCTTTGGAATTTGCTACCCGCAAGTAGACTAAAACACAGATTTCAATGAGTTTTTCCAACTCAAACAACCCAACCTTCACCCACAGGCATTCAAACAGTTTATCATATACGCATTTAGCCACATGGCAAGCATACTGTAATGGCAACACTCACACGCATGCGGGATGCTAAAGCAAAAATACTTACATCGTACTCCGTGCCAAAACAGTAAACTAGTTAGCAAACATGCATGTCCTAGTCTATGTCAAGTTTGACTAATGCAACACATGCAGGATGCAATTAGAGTAGGCTCGGCTAACCTAAACATGGCATGTGAAATGCGATCAACTGTCACATATTCAATTTGTGAATTGAAGTACAAATGCAGTTAGCGTGATGTACCGAGCCTAATGCATGCAATACAAATGCATGAATGCACGCATGCATAGCATAAGGTATGCTAAATTAAATATGCCCTAATCTACCATCGTAAGCAGGTAAATAAAAGGGAAGAAAGACGCGAGGTTGGAAGACATACACACACTCACGCACACTTATTACATAATTGCCCTCACTCGGAGGATACAAATAAATATTACAGTCCCAAATAATAAGCAAATAAAATTATTACAGAATTTCTAATTAATTAAAAGAAAGAATGCAAAAGAAAGAAGAGGGTGGCCGCAGCCTCTGCCTCGGGATGCGCGAATGATGCGTGCTCGGAAACCGGCTCGCCTGAAAAACCCGTACCATATCTCTGCCACCTCTGTTTACACTGCCCTGTCTTTCTGAAAATCGCCAAAACCCTAGGACAGGTTCCTTAAATGTTGCAGAGTACCACCGGCTTAACAGAATTCCCACCGGCAGTCCAGGATTTCCATCGGCACTGTTTTGATTTACCGGCCCTTCAAAGATTGCCGGCCGGCACTGAATTCTGCCAGTCGGCAGAAACTTCCTGTAGAAGACAGTTTTGACAGCAAACAGAGAACAGACAGTGCATGGCATGGGGTTTCAGGCATATGTGACCATGGTCATGCTTCCCATTATGCTTTGAACTCAAAGAAGCATGACCCTCGATCCTCGAGCCATCAATGGTGCATGATAGCCCAAGGGATCAAATTTGCCACTTAATGTAAAGATGCATGCAACATACAAATGAGATCCAAAGCCTTATCATGTCGAAGTCAAAGGCTCCGGCGACCGAGAATTAAGGCGTGTTTCATCACTTGTAGTATGAACACTCCTTAACACTCACACTTGGTTTGACACCCCAAACCAAGCAATGCAATGCATGTTATGCAAACATGTTTCAAATGCAACATGATACCAATTATTCAAGTCATGGCAAATGTTATGGAACTATCATGACAAATATGCAATGCTAAGCATACAAGGTGCAAATGTGATGCAAACATGGACCAATTTGCCATAAAGTTAGCATGGGACTACACATTAATGAAACAATCATGCAACAAACATGAGACAAGCATGCAAGAGGGCCTTAAATGGTAAAGGGGCAGACCTTCACCCACCTCAAAACAGTGGCAAAAAGTGTCCAAAAAGTGGACAAATGCTCATGCCAACAAGCAAACCAAAGGTCCTAAGGTTAAGGCACAAAAAGAGGCATTTTACTCCCACTAACATGACCACTCATGGCATGATCAAGACAAGCAAAAACAGAATTTTCACATGCAAAAATATACTCCAAAAACCTCCTTAATATGGCAACTAAAGTAGCTCCAAAAAGGCATATGCACCAAGGCTCATGTGTAGGCATAAAAGAGCGCACCATCAAGGCATGAAAGAGACCATACATGCACACATACAAGCATAATTCTTGGACTGAAATAAGGTCCTAAATGATGCCAAAATCATGAAGATGGTTCAAGCTATACATGTTAGAGGTCGAAATGCTCAAGGCTTACAAGCCAAAACACAAAGGGATGACATCAAACCATGCAAGCATGACTGAAATGAAGGGCCAACAGACTTTAAACATGATAAAATAAAGCCAACATCGTCATGGAACCAAGCCAACACATGCAAGAATTAAGGCCCAAACACAAGACATGATTCTAGGCCAAATGGGGGAGTATGAAGCAAGTATACTAAGCCTGCAAAGGGCCATAGATCCGGCCAAAAACAGAGATCCCATATGACCCAAAAACACCCAAAAAGTTCTAAAATAAGGCAAAAGAACAAGCAAGCATGCATGTTACCCTTTTGGGCCAAAACTCAAGGAAACAAGACAATGAAGGGAGAGGGGTGTCCCTCCCCTATGCAAGACTTCAAACCATCTTCCTTACCACTAAAAATACATTGGTTTTCAGTGGTGAAGAGAACAAAACACTGAAGTAAACAAAGCTCTACTAAAGAGGCAACAAAAGGGGCCAAATAAGGCCTAACAAGGTGAGTTTGCACTCAAACTACAAGACAACCTTAATGAAAGTTCTAAAGCATGAAAATATAAGCCTTTTTTATGTTATACACAAGAGCTAAATCAGCAAGCAAGATAGGTAAATAACTATTGCAAGTTTGGGGAATATAAAGCAAGATGCTCCACCCTTGAAGAACCTTTGAAGAAAAAATGGTCTAGCCTCCTTCTTTGGATCAAAACCAGTCCAAAACTCAAGAAACAACTCCCCCAAGTCCTCCCTCAATCTCGGAGCTAGGTGTAATAGTGTGTGTAATGGTGCAAAAGTAGGTAAAAAACACACTTTTGGCCAAAAATCACACACAAAGGAGGAGAGAGAGGGAGATATAGAGAATAGGATGTATCTATATCTCTAAAACTCTGGTTTTTGCTTCAAGTCTCCAAACCTAGATCAAAAGAGGAGAGCTTCCTCTTATAGACTCCCTCTTGCAAAAGCTTATACAACAAGCTTGCTTAGAGGAGATCCCTCCATACACGTGTATGGAGGGAGCAGAGTTGGTGCCAGCTATACAGCTGGCACAAAATATCTCCATAAAGTAGATGAACAGTGGTCGGCTGCCCAAAAATGTTATTTCGACAAAATTAGTTGCGACGGCAACAAAATATGCCGACTGGCAACAAACAGTGCCGACCGGCAATAAAAGTGCCGATTGGAATC